ATATTCATATAAAATCTCAGGATGACGTCATCATGACGTCACCTCATTTTTAATCTATAACACATCCTGGTACAACCACATACCAAGTTTCAACCCAATCAGACTTACATTTCTGTAGATATGACTTCACAATATGTACGTAAATTTTCAAAAATCAATAAAAACATTAGGTGATGACGTCATCGTGACGTCATAGTCTTGGCATAATTTTTGTATGAGGGTCTTCCTTGGCTGTAACTTTGATGACGATTTTAGATCGCCAAGTTATGAAAATGGTGGCTTGAAAACGTGTACAAAGTCAATGGGTTAAAAATCCCACAGCAGAAAAACTGCACCTTCAAATGCGTGATTTTCCTTTAAACTGAAACATTTTTATAAAATATTACTTGCTATTCTAACTCTTGGGAATATTTTCAATCAAATGACAGGCGTAAAGAAATACGATTTCTTTTTCCTTCTCATAGTAATTCTCAGCCGAAGTTCAGAACTACTCAGTAAGATATATCAGTGTAATTGTATAGGGAAAGACTTGTGGAGAAAGCTGTGTACAAAGTCTATGACAAAAATTAATTATTCATAAATCCATAATAAATCACTTGATGACGTCACCATGACGTCACTCTTCGGGACATATCTTGGCTATAGGGACTATGCTTATGCCAACTTTCAATGATATCTGACAAAGATTAATGCCAAAAGTGCTATAATACGTCCCTGTCTATGCGCATGCATGAACATAAAATCTGTCAAAGTTAAAACGGTCAATGTGGACAGGATTTGACCTCAGCAACACGTGCGCTGTAGGCTGACTGACATACGATTATGTGCCTATGTACAACGTACGTGCAATGCATGTACATGTACATTGTGGACGTCCTGTCCTGTGCATGTTTTGAAGCAGAGGTATTGTCAACGTGAAGTTTTAAGCGTGCGTAGGGTATGTTCGAGTTCGCTTATCGCCTCGAAACTTTAAAATGTTTTAGACCTACCCTTCAATCGACAATTAAAGTAAAAACAAACATAAAAACTGCCATGGTTGATTTTTCAGGAATTTTCAAATGAAAAAGGGTCTTTTTATTATAACTTCCGGTCTGATGCCGTCATTCGCCTAAAACTTCGCACACGTCTTAAGTGGGTCAAGGTCATCATATACACCAATATTTAGGTGATTCCGACAAACTTCGCCACAGACATCTATTCAAAATACATTTTTGCTAATTTTCAACCTGTCGCTAGAGGGCGCTCGAAGATTGCATGACGTCATCGGTAGATGATTTGAAGAATACTATCGGCCAAGAGACTAACACCGTTAAAAGCAAGTTCATATCTATTACCATTTTTAAATAATAAGCCACTTCCGGTTTTGGCCTTTTTCGACCGGAAGCAAGGGTCACGTGATTTCACGCACACTGAATGAAATAAAGACCTCAACCTATTCTACCACTTGCCGGCAACAAAATGCTGCGGACGCGTACGGTTGATTTCTTATGCATTTTTTAATATTAAAAGTGTCACAATTTAATTGCCTATAAACACACACCTGATGACGTCATCATGACGTCATCATTACACAATGTTGTTTAAATTAGGGTCTTTGCTTAGACAAAGACTGGTGTAAATGAATTACTGGCAAAGAGTCAAAACTGCCCTTTGCAAATAGACAATTTTTTTTTAATTTCTGTGTACAAAGTCTATGGGAAAAATTAAATATTCAAAAATCTATAATAAATTAGTCGATGACGTCACCATGACGTCAATCTTCGGGACACATCTTTGCTATAGGGACTATGCTTATGCTAACTTTGAATGATGTATGACAAAGATTAATGCCAAAAGTGGCGATGAGAAAAAACGTGCACAAAGTCTATGGGATTTAGGCGACAAAAAGAAGAAGCCAAAAAAAAAAAAAAAAAAAAAAAAAAAAATGAGAACAAAAACAAAGGCTTTTCCGCAACTTTGCGGAAAAGCCAAATATCAAGACAAAAAGAATGCCTTTTTCGCAAAATTCGCGAAAAAGCCAATAATTCTTTCTCTAATCCGCTGAATTGTCCATCACAGACATAAGAATGGTATGGATCAATTGGTTTCAAATGCTATGTAATCAGAAACCACACAACTGATCAACCTTTATTGTTCATGGTGCAGCCAATTCTAATCAAATAATAATCAGTTTATGAAGCTGCACTTTGGCACACTTATTTAGGGTTATTTTCTCCATGCAGTGGACATCGAACGTAAAACAGGTCAAGAGCAGATCCTTGGGGGGGGGGGGAACTTGCATAATAAAAACTTATGAAAGTTTGAAATTTTGGTCTATTTCATGTCCATTCCTTTTAGTGTTGGGAGGATGCAAATTTTTGAAAATTCGAAGATTTCATTGTATAAAGAGCGAATATTCGGTTATTGGAATTTATCGATGGCATTTCAAAGTGCAAATAAAACTTGCGCATCGTATCATATAACGCCAAGATTAATCACGTATCACATGCATGCCCGAAGGGCCTTAATGAAGAAATAAAATGAGATTCATATGTGAATGTGCTAACAAAGAGGATGGATGCACGGCTATTCTTTGATGATGGCCCCATGGTGACCACAACGAAATTCCACCAATGCTCTTTATACAGTCAGTAAAACCACAAGAGTTTGTTTACAAAACACTGATGTCAAAGCTCGTGGACTACTGACATGTGTTTGAGGCTACAGTGTGCCCACTTCGGGATGTAACAAGTGTTTCTTAGGATATGTCAGCTGAATGGGGCAAACTCTTTTGCTTAAGGCCAGTCCAGATTGTTATTATTTTCAACTTTGTATATTTGGTTTCCAAATTCAAGTTTGGATCTTAGAGTGTTTTTGGGTTATTTGAATATTTGGATTTCACTCATGGTGACTGCTCTATGTTCCGACACCCCTATGTTCTGACAACCTAGATTGTGTTACTCCTGGTTAGGGGTAGGGTTAGGAATAGGAATATGTGCAGTCGGAACATAGGGGTGTCGGAACATTAGAAGTGTAACCTCACTCACACTTATTTCTTCAAAAAGCATGAAAAAAACACCAAAATTAATGTTGCCTTACCCCTGAGAGCGGCCACAAAGGCTTACATGAAAAAAATAAATATTTTGTTGCTTCCCCCCCAAAAAAAGTTTGGTGCCCTCCCCCCCCCCCAAAAAAAATATTGGATCTGCCCTTATTATTATAAAATTACAGCTAAACATAATGCTGTATAATACTTACAAATCCATTAATGTCAATCTGGAGGTTACTTTGATACATACAAAACATTGTCTAGGGTCAAGTTGTGAATTGATTATTTTGTTTGACTTTTCTTGTGGTTTCATAAAGCTTAAATTATTTAAGAGATGAATGTAAACAGGATTTTCAGGACTTGTAACAAACTGCTTAATAAATGGTATAGACTACCCTTTGGTAGCAGAGGTGTTTTCTATTTCAAGACCCTTAGAGTCTAAAAGAGTGACACTCCCTTCACTCTTGCAGTGCTTGAAATGGTCCGACTCTTTGATGAGTAGCCGCTTAATGTCTGTTGTTGATGCCTCCTCCCAAATCATCAAGGTGCTTGACTTGATTTCTCGCAGTGCCCCATCGTCATCCACACTGCAGATAACAATGTTCTTGGTAAACCCAGTCTCTGCACTGCCATGACTGGTTGATGGTGTTCCTGCAGCAACAATTGGAATTAAAAATTAAACAACTGTTTGCACTTTGATTTGCTGGACTTGAACAGCATTCTTCTATATAGGATTAACGCACATTTTAGGAAAAATGAAGCACCAATCCAAACTGTTCTCAAATATTAGATTCATAGGCATCAATATTAAGTTATAATTTGCAGTTGATGCTCCCCCCCCCCCCCAAACGGGTGCTCAAAAGTTCCCCAATTCCTATGTTAAGGGGGCTACACATTTTGGAAATGTTCTCATATAGAAAAAAAATTGCAGGCCTTCTGGCAGGGGAGGCTACTTTTTAGGGCTGTTTGCAGGCTTTTTTAAAGGCAGGGAAATAGACAAAACTAGTCACCTCTTTTCTCATAATAGAAAAATCTGGTCTTTTTATGAGGGGTCCATTGCCCCAATCTCCCTCCCCCCCCCAATCCACCCTTATGGACTGGGAAACATACACTGGTGAAAAAAATAGACAGGGAAAACATAGGGACTTGCGAACAGGTTACGGCTACGTCACAATGGCCCTATAACCCATTGGTTCTAACTTAAGGCCAGTATTCCCATTTTTGCGGAAACTTTGAAAAAAGTTTTTACGGGGACTGCTATATGTATTTTTTTTATCGTGAATGGTCCATAGGATTAATGGGCCGTAAGGCCAATCATTGGGGCAGATCATGCTTTTTCATGCACCCCAAAGATTTCATAAAATAATCCATTTTGAGGATGTGTTCGCATCAAGTCTAAAAACAGATATTTTATTCAGAACCCACAAAGTAAATAATCATCATTTGGCATTTTTCAGATCCACAGGCTTTTCTTTATGTCCCTGGCCTTTATCTTCGTGGTGCTGTCTGTTTTCAAATATCTTAATATTTGAAAATTTCAATTTTTATTAGGTCAAATGTTAAATAGTACAACAAACAAATGAATTTTGTTCTTCAAATCAGATATTAACTTTAACTAGTTGAAGGCTCCGAGCTATATTTAAGCGAACATGCAGTGTTAACAACAGGTCATGCAGTAGGCTCAATAGCAAATGTGTTTTAAAGGAAAATAAAAATTGCATTTTTTCTTGTTTGTTTTACCCAGAGCATCATTGAGCCAAAAAAGCAGCGTTACCAAAGGAAAAGGTTGCATTTAATGTGTAGCCACATCAAGCTGTAGCCACCAGCCCGGCACTGATGCCTGGTGCTATGATGGCAAGCCTTGTGCTTATTGGGTGGATAAACTGGGCTTTATATCCTCAATCAATAAGCGAGGACGACCTTACCTGTCCATTTTTACTTTCTTTGTTTCTTGAATCTTTTCCTAACATAGGCATCGCACGAAGATCCTCCAGCTCCAGCGTCACGGTCAAGACCAAACGGGTTCAAACCCCGGTTAGTGGGCGAGCACTTTTGTGCATCTCCGGTGACAGTCCAGGAAACGAAACTATCAAGTGCCGGGAAAGATCCATCGGGATTTGGAACGACAACGGAATCATCGGATCCGTACAGAAGCAACGACTCTGGGTCAATTTTAAAGATTTTACCTAGCGTTGCGGTATGCAGTTGAGTGCGAAAGATTTTAAGAATTCTGTCATCTCCACCTGTGGAAATCATGTATTTCGGGAAGTCGATAAAATCATCGTCACTGTTCGGATCCATGTTTGGTCTGCCACTGCCAAAAAACTGAATGTCGTATCACCGTGGATCCGTATCGCTTAATTTTCTAGACTAGTACATGTATACAATGTCTGGTGAGAACTCGAGTTTCCTATCCCCGGAAATGTCTAGAGCGTGGGATTTTATTTTTGTATCGGTACACAAAGAATTTCGTAGCTTTGAAGATGCCGCGATGCCTACCACCACAAAACCCGGCCAATGTCCTGGCATTCTTGCCCTATGGTCCCGGGGAAGGCCTGCGAAAAACTCGTCCCCAAGCTCAATTTTTTTTACTATGCTTTCCCTGGACGACGCGTGAATTTCATCTTGAAAGAAATAAGCTTGTATGGTTGTTTCTTTGGGTTGTTGTTTGTTGTTTTGGGTGTTTCTTGGGTTGTTTGCTTGGTGTTTTGTTTTTGATTGTGTTTGTGTGTTTCTTCGACTTTTTTTCTAAATAAAATTGTGCGCGTTTTTCCTCAGCCTTACGGCCGAGATGAAAACCAACAGTGTGGTGAGTACGAGTGAAAGAAAAACATTACAGGCACCTTGATCTACTTCTTATTCTCCAAGATGAGAAATAGCTTACTTGTCAAACACGTGACGATTCCAAGGTACTTGTAATTATTGTACATGCAAGACTGCCCCTCGCTTACGCTCTTCTCGTGTTTGTTCTCAACTGGTAGGAAATGGTATGACCATGGAGCAGTGTTTTATTGCTCCATGGTATGACATGTCGTATGAATGTGGAATTGTATATTTCAGAGATTTATTGCTATGCCAGGGGCACAGCAAGGTTGTTTATGAGTAAAAACAGTTCCTGAAAAGGGCACTCTCACATACAGGTGGAAGGGGGTTAAACACATAGTGATAAAATAGCACTTGAATGGAAAAGGGCAATCTCTACAAAAACATTGGAGGGAATCCCCCTTACGCCCCCTGGTACCCCCGAGCCGCATACTAATGTAAAAATGGAGCCAATATTACCAGACAGATTGCAAAAACTCCCGACAATTTTTTTTAATGTCAACATGCAACAAAAAAGCGCAGGAGAAAAGAGAAGGCATGCCCGGCAGACCCCTAGCGTAGAAGATTCACCACATTCGCGCATGCTGACTTAATCTTTGCTCCAGTCGCTTCGGGTCTTCGCAACTCCGCCGCTCTAAAAAACGATGGCCTGGGCGAAAGGCTACGAAGAAGGCGGGTTGGACTTGGCTGGTCTTCAAGCATGCCTTCTTTGTGGGATCTCAAAGGAAACTCAAACATCGGACGCGCGACGTTCACGGTCTGTTGAAAGCAGAAAAGCAAATGGCCATTATTCGGCCGCCTGTACGCCAAAGTAAAATCTGTTTTTCCGGTATCCAAAAAGCAGAAAACAAGAATACACACTTGTCAAACGTTTGATCCACTTTTCTGCTTATCTGAAAAGCAGAAAGCAGATGGCCACATTTCGACCACCTAAGTAAAATCTGCTTTTCCGGTATCCAAAAAGCAGAAAAGAAGAATGCACAGTTGTTGCCAAAATGTTCAATCCATTGTCTGCTTTTCAGAGAGGAGAAAAGCAAATGGCCACTTTTGGGCCGCCAGCATACGGAGGAAAATTAAAATCTGCTTTTCTGGTAGCGGAAAAGCAAAAAAATAGAAAAATGCATTTTCAGAAAACGTTCAATCTGCATTTCAGGTACAGAAAAGTAGCAAAGTGAAAAAAATTCATGTTACAACGAGGAAATCTGCTTTTATGCTATTCTGATAGCAGAAAAGCAGATGGCCACTTTTCGTCCTCCATACTGCTGCTATCAGTACCTACCAAAAAATAGACGGTTCCAAGTCATCCCGCCTTTTTCAATTACGTCAACATTGTGCTAACTAATTAATCCACTGACAGTTCTATTAGAAAAAAACATGAACACGTGCGCGCGTATACTTGCCCTATATATCCGGCCTAACAGTTTAATTTGAGTGCGGGACTTGTCTGTAATTTCTAGAGGGGTTGCTTGGCTCTAGTGAGATGGGCGGGGGGGGGGGGGTGTTTGCGGGGATCCAGGTTTGCAATGCTCAAATAAAACTCGTTGCATTATTTATTAATTTATTTTTAAATAAAGAAAATTAATTAGTTACTTCAAACTTCACGGATTAATTTTTTCCTGGCGGAGATCTTTGTTTACATTTTCTTTAGTTTTAGTTGTTTTTTTTAATTTGAATATTTTCTTTGGTACCCAGTGTTGTCTCGAAATTCACTAATTTTTTCGCTAAGGTATACAAAATTACTTTAAAATAAGTTACAATATATTAATGGCAGCGTCTGAAATAAGCCTTTGGACCAGTAAACCGCTTTGCAATCAAACACACCAGTTTTCAAGTTACAAAACCCGGATCCCGCTGTTATCCCTGCTTCTAAACTTGGCTGAAAATATTTTTTATAATTGGCGTTCTAAATATGTAAATGTTATATGTATATAAAATTGCTGCATTATTTATTTATTAAATTTTCGTTGTTTAATAATTCAAATTAATTTCTTCATTTCGAAGATTCGCCGATTCTTTTTCTGCAGGAAAAAATTGTAGGATCTCTGTTCTGTCATCCCCGACTTCCTGGATATTTTTTGGGATTTAATTTCGTCTTAAACCAAGCTTTTTACCCGTGTTGCGAATGGATATTTATAAACTTGTGAGATTTCTAGCTAGTAATGGTATTTGGCACTGGTGTAAGAGAAGCAAAAGACGTATACTACGTAACGTGTAGTGCTAAAGAGATCGGCCCGAATCAAACGGAATTTCACTTCTCTTTGGCTGCTTTGTGGGAGCCGACTCTTTCACTGAGTTCCATGGGTGTCAGTCACCTATTTGAAGCGTGGGAAAGTTTTTTTTGGTAAAACTAGCGTGACCACTTATATGGCAGATCACTAGCCGTATACACATTAATTTTTATTTCTTCGTCAAAGCAAGATGGACGTGACATACGATAGTGACTGGGGAGATTTTCAGGACACTGGCTCCTTCCTTGTTAAAGGACCAGACGACGACCGACTCCTCAAACTTAGAAAGGTACAGATGTCTTGTACAACACTGGGACGTTTAAACTTGTACCAGACTCCATAATTATGTATGGCTCTGACGACTCCGTTGTCGTCCCATGTTCCAGTGGAACTTTTAATTTGAGTAGCTTTTTGACATGGAAGATAACTGGGGATGCGTTGCGCAACCAAACGCCAAAGATCAATCCATTCGCTTTTAGTACAGGCGGAGGTAATGGTGGGGCAGAAGACTTCTTGCCGGGCCCGTCCGAGAGGTACCGCAATCAAAAGAAGGCAGCACACGTGGCACAGGGAAAATTTTCATCAGGTAGGCCTAAATACAGTATCAATCGGTGTGTTTTTTTTGTATGTGAAAGATGTTCGAATTTGTATTTTATAAAGAAAACGACAATTGGAATCGTAATAACCACAGCTTTTCCCTATGAAGGGTTTTGTAACGGGATATTACACACACATTGTTCATGTACATGTAACGTTTACACATCAACTGTATGTTATAATTGTATGTTCCAGATGCATTGTGGGCCGGGTAGAGCATGCTGGGATATAATTCAATATGGCCGTTGTTGTTATGCTTTGATTCCAATCAGTACCAGAATAAATAACCAATCATATCAATCAGAAGATAGAATTAACTCAAATCTTGTAGTAATTTGAACTTTTATTTGTGTAACTCCTGTTACACTGGCGTAGTCGGCAGGATTGCTGCTCGAAACGGGTGATTTTCGTGGATTTCACATCCTATGTGACAGATCGCCGATCGCAAACGCCGGACGCTGGGGGTGAGTGCCGTTGATTCGTGGCCGCTAAACACGAACATTAACTGTTGATTTAGGTTTTTCAACCTTCCTAAATCCTTGGAATTTCACCGAGATATAAACACTGTTTTCAAGATGGCACAGTCAGCTGAACGGATGGTGTAATTGAGCCGTTTTACCGCAGATTACATAGCGAAATTGTGTGCCATAAATCACATCGATGTAAGCGAGGTCAAGTCAAAGCAAGAGCGCATTGAAAGCCTATGTGGTCTGCCCAATATGAAGGAACCGGGGGATAAAAGCCACCCAGTTAGTCCAGCTCCTGTTCAGCCTGACTTGTGACAGATTTTAAAGAATTTGGAGTCCATGCGCAAGGCTGAAACCAAGTCCCTCTTGAAAGCTATGACTGTTGCAACCAAATCATCCATTTCATCAGTCCGAGTTGGACCGGAACTCCCGGACTTTCATAAGCTCTCGGCCGACGATGACATCACATGTTATCTCTCCACGTTCGAACGCATGGCTGCTGCCGAAAAGAAACCACAAGACCAGTGGCCCCGCCTTCTTGAGCCGTACTTGACAGGGAAGGCTCAGAAGTATCGCTTGAAATTCCGAACTGCATCAAAGACGGCGGACGAAAGTTTCGAAGAGTTCTCAACTGGACTTGAACTCTATCTTCGCCGATGGTTGGTGCCCAAAGAAGAGACAACAGTGTCACCTGATTTCAAGAGGATGACACATCTCATCCTGATCGACCAGTTTTTGGCATCGATCAGCAGTGACTTTCTTCGCGGCAAACTGCGGGAGAAGAAGGTCAAAACCGTGCAAGCCCTCGCAAGGTTGGCAGATGAACACATGCTTCATCGCAAGACTGATGCATCCATCAAGTTCCAGGGAAGACCACAACCGTCTTTTTCGTCTCATCCGTCTCATCCATCTCATCAGACAAACACAAATCGACAACAGGACACAAAGACAGAGAACACTAGTCTGAATCGTAACCCTGCGTCCGGTGCATTCCCGCGGCACACAGGAAGGTTCGAGGCTGTATGTTTTCGGTGTCACAAAGTGGCAGATTGTCCCCTCCCACCCCAACCACATT